GACGCTCTGACCGGAGGGGACACGGTGTCCACCGTGAACAGGCCAGACTCGAGGTGTCGGGGGAAGGTGGTGAGAGGGGCACTAGTGGCGGCTTCCGTACAGACTGCGCACCGCTCGTGTCCAGGGAAAGTATGGGTGACGACGAGGTCCTGAAGATAGCCGACACCAACTAAGTTCCTCGAGAACGAGGGGATGTGCAAGCCTGTAAGAGAGCCCGAGGGAACCGCCGGACAGAGAAGGGTAATGGAGCTCCGGGCAACTACCGGACTTGAGGAGGGGTCAGCAAGCGGTACAGCGGCAAGGGCGGCAAGCAGCATGAGCGAAGTGTGGTCGCGAAAGAAGCAGGTGGACGCACCAGAGTCTAGCGTGAACGAGAGCGCGACGCTAGTGGCCGCAGGCGAAGGAGCTAGCATGGAGCCATGGCTAAACAATGCAAATTGTCCTACGCCAGACGCAGCAGGGGAAAACTAGACTACACTCAGTGGACACACCTACACTAGGCAACACTAGGATACAGTCACACTAGAGTCATCAACATACATAACATATATAGCAGACCTAATCTGGTCCATGTCAAGCTCAAAGACAGGCACACGGTGGCGCGCCAGGGCGTACCAGTCCGGAGGGTCCGACGTGGGACCAAAGCGGAGACGGAAGTGGTCATCGAGGCGGCGGTAGCAGCAGGCGGCGGTGTGACCGGGACGGTTGCAGACGGTGCCACGGCGGGGGTTGGTCTGAAGCTGGTACTGGCAGGAGACCACACTGGAGCTTCCACCCAACACCGAGCTGCGCGGCGCACCACCACGACCACCACCACCAGCGCCACCAGGACACCATGGCGGCGGGGGTCCCCACGGCGGCTGCTGCTGCTGCTGAGGCTGCTGCTGAGGCGGCTGCTGCTGCAGCTGCTGAGGCTGCTGGTGCTGCTGCTGCTCTGGGGCACCAGCCCCGGACCCCTCGTCTGCACCACCTCCCCGCCCCCACCTCCACCATCCCCACCACCCTTCCCTCCGCCACGCCCCCCCTTTGTGCGGCGGCCCTTACCCGGACGCTACTGCGCTGAGGCCGCAGCTGCGGTCTCAGCAGCAGGGGTTGTCTCAGCAATAGCGGCAGAAATGCCAGAGTAAGTGCACTGGGAGGGAGCACAGCCCTGAAAGATAGGGACCGGCGTAGTACCGCTAGACTGAGCGATAGTGCACTAACGGGTCTCTATTACGGACAGGGCGGTGACAAAGGCAGTGAGGTTGAGATCACTTGGGTGCTGACTAATGAAGTGGTCGCGGACAGTGGCTACGCGGTCTAGCAGGCGCGTGGCAATGAGGTAAAGGGTAGCACAAAGCGGCGGCAGGAAGGCAGTGAGCTGTGCCTCAGTGCTAGCGGCATGGTAGCTAGTCTCCACAGCGCGACAGTGAGTGGCAAGGTCAGCGACAGTGGGGAAGGATGCAAGGTCAGGGAACAGCATGGGGAGGATCAGGCGGCCAACAGAGGCTGAGGTAGGGGTAGAATAGCGCACGATGACGGCATCTAAGTCTTCTTTGGCGTTTGAGACAGCGGTAAAGTGGGGACACTTAGACAGAAGGAGGGCGTAACTAATGGCAAGCTGAGCAACGACGTCGCGTGAATCCTAGACAACGCAGGCAAGCTCAGCAGTGACAAAAGCCTCACGCTCAGCAGACGTGGGGGCGTCAGGTAGGGCAGCAGGCGGGGTGGGGCGAGGGAGCTTACCGTCGACATGGACGGCCAGGGAGTGGCCGTCCTGACGCTGCCCGGTCAGCTGGTGGCGGAAGTCGACGAGCCATGCCTCAAACTCAACGGCGCGATCCTCCGCGTCCAGGCGGAGCAGAGAGTCCGTCATCACCACGGCTGCAGCAGCTGACTGCCGCTGACAAGGGGAGGAGCGAAAGCGGAGGAGGGCAATGGAGAGCGGTGGAGTACGGTGGAGTGCGGTGGAGTGCGGTGGAGAGCGGTGGAGTGCGGTGGTGAGCAATGAAGTGCGGTGGAGAGTGGTGGAGACTGCCGGCGGGAGCGCCAAGGCCGGCACGATGGGGGGCTCCGGCTGGCGGCTACGGGCATCTAGCGGCGATGGGCGGGCTCAGAGGGGAAGCCAAGGCCGGCATGATGGGGGGCTTCGGCTGGGGGCTACGGGCGTCTGGCGGCGATGGGCGGGCGGCTACAGGCGGGCCAGCGGCTATGGGCGGGCTGGCGGCAACGGGCGGCCAGCGGGGACGGGCGGCCAGCGGCTACTGGCGGCTGGCGGCTACAGGTGGCCAGCGGCTACGGGCGGCTGGCGGTTGGCGACTACGGGCGGCCAACGGCTACGAATGGCTGGTGGCAACGGACGGCCTGCGGCTATTGGTGGCTGGCAGCTACGGGCAGCCAGTGGCTACGGGCGGCTGGCGGCAGCGGGTGGCCAGCGGCGACGGGTGGCCAGCAGCGACAGGCGGCCAGTGGCGATGGGCAGCTGTAAGTTACAGGCGGTGACAGGCAGCCAGCGGGCTACGGGCACCTGGCGGCTACGAGCGGCATCGACGGGCGGTGGGCAGCCAGGGGGCTAAGGGCGGCCAGCGGGCTGGCGGCTACGGGCTGTTGGCGGCTACAGGTGGCCAGCGGCGACAGAGGGTCAGCGGCTACGGGCGGCGACAGGCGGCCAACGGGCGGCGGGCAGCTGGCGGCGACGGGTGGCAGCGACGGGCGGCGGGCAGTTGGCGGCTAAGGGCAGCCATCAGGCTATCGGCTACGGGCGGCCAGCGGCGACAGGCGACCAGCGGGCTGCGATCGACGAATGGCGGGCAGCCGGCGGCTACGGGGGACGTGCGGCTAGCTCCGGCTAGCGACGGGCGGCTAGGAACGAGCGGCTAGTGACGGGCGGCATGGGCTAGGGCTAGGACGAGGGAGGAAGCGCGGGTGGGCGGGATCCTAACCTAGCATGATACCATCTCAGAGTAAAAAGTTGACTAGAATGATGGGGTACAAACGAATATAACCTAAGGTGTTGTACTCTATTTGAGCATGCACCTATCTAGCCTTTAACATATACAAAATATATGCTAACTGCTACTCCCTATTCCCATATAGCCCAATGATTTATCTGTCCAAATATTTGGGAAAAAATGATTGTTTATTATTAGATCACCTGGACGCGTCGAGCCTTCTTAGACTCTGATATTTATAATGATTTGATGTTTTTTTATTTCATGAATTGAATTAGTTACTTCGTATGGATGTAACTCACGCTTCGTACGTTTCATCCGCAGAATCGTGGGTGCAATTTTCGCGCGCAAAAGGGCGAGGCCACGTGCGACACCCATGTGTAAATCTAAACAGTAACTCTTCGCGTGTGGAAATTTTGGCGGGAGTTTCATTTTGTGACCGAACGTGACAACCCATGTCCCAACCGAGTGAGGTGCCGTGATAGAGACGAAGCTCGTCAGAGCTGCACAAGATTTGAGGGTGCTGGGGATTCAATCACTCAAGTATTTCGCATGCCATCACCACGGACAAATGAGGTTTTCGCACGAGCACACGACGAAATGGGTGGGTATTTGTGGGGGGGGCTTGTGTGCCGATGTTTGTTGCTAGTGTGCGACTCTTGTGAAGCGATCAGGCGACGGCGGTGCACAGTTCCGTGGCGACGAAACCTTGTCGGCAATGACTTGTCCCTTGCTATATGTTGGTCGCAGACGCAATTATGAGTGACTTAAACGGATCTCCCATTGCCCGTATATCGGGGGTTTTGGGAAACGATTCTGATTGGGCGCCAGGTTGAGCTGCGATAAGGCTGGGCATCGTCTGTATCGAATGACCAGCCATGATAGATTAGCCACTAAAAGTTACTGTTCGTACTCGCCGAGTGACTATCCGTCATATCTCGCATAGTGGTTGTGACCAGGCATATAAATGTCATGACGCAAAGGTGGTGCCATGCCGAGGCTGTGAAAGAGTTTAGGACTTGGAAAAATGCGTCTGGTTCGAGGTTCGGCTTGGCGAAACTTGCACTGTAGATATGGTTACCAGTCATTAACAAAATACTTACCAGCTCAAAACCTCGAGATCACTTTGTGACGATCGTGCTTGTTCGATCGACCACCCCGCTGTAGGTTCGACAATCCCCCAGAACTAACGGATTGCTTCGTTGATGCCAATAACCTTGGCGAACATTCTTGCGAAGTTTTCGCAGCGTTGTCAGGAACAACCCACGCGACGCCACCACGTCTTCGCGAAAATCACGAGCTGGTTTGAGTTGTTGCTATGTATGTGCGAAACGTGGCGAAGCTGGGTGTTGGCAGGCATGTGGAGCCGATCTCCTGTCCGCAAGCGAGCATTTTTTGTAAGTCTGTCCGACATGGGGATTGCCACGTTGACAGGTCGATCGCTCGTATGCGGGTCAGTTCGTAGGGTCTCCGAAAAAATGTGCAACCATGCAAAACGGACATGTTTCCACGTCCTTGGGAGGAATCGCGCCTGGAATACTGACCCCATAATTATTGCTGACACAAATGCGATTCAGGAATTCGGATTCAGGAAATATTCATTCACCTTTTATATTTCAACCATTCTCGGAGCCGGATAGGTCTGGGTGGCTTGCTTTCCATTGGCCATGCCGGAAAACTGTGTGTGTGCTTGCAAAAATACTGGGACAACATCGCCTATACTCAAATTATGCGTGCTCGTGATTGGGTAGAGATGCGCACACCCGCCTGGCATAATTTGAGAGTTTGAGGTAATTCCCGAAACATATTGGACCAATTTTGTGAAGGGTGGATGCCAGCCTATACAATATTTACTCAAAATATTCTCCTAGGCTGTGAGACGAAGACGTGACGACAGTGACTTTGTCGGACATGAGAACTGACATCATCAGCACTAACTTCGCTTACCACCCCAGCTCAGCATGGACTTCTTCCGCGATGTTTCTTCCCATCTGAGCGCATCGGATCCCACCGCCATTCGTAACACGTGATGCTATACAGACAGGCGTTAGTGGCGCATCCAGCTTTTCCAGCAAATGACTTCGGCACTCGGAGTCTGAGTCAGCTCGTCACGCTTACTAGCGCAGTGCTACTACACGTATTTAGGACATCGGGTTTTTTTTTTTGCGATGACCGAGAAAGGCCTTCCTCGCGGTCCAAGTACTGTACATCAGAACCCGACAAATCAGATACTGGATATGGTTTGGTGGCATGGCTCTGAGCCGTCCTCCTCATCCTTCACGAGGGTGCCTCTGGCCCGGACGCTCATTGGCTGATTCTAGAAAAGCCTCAGAAATCGTCTCGAAATGCACGGTGGAGAACGCTCGTCGACCCGGGTTACTAAGACGGTTACATGCACGGTGAAGATTCTGTGGGATCATCATCAAGACAGCAGAGGTACAGCATTTTGACCGGAGCTCTTAGGAGAGAAGAACGCTTGGTTGGATTGTCTCCTTCGGACCGAGTGAGCTTGACTGTGCATACCGCCTCACGGCCAGTGAGTGAGTACTGTATTTCTTCAACCAGCTCTCTTAGAAGTGTCTCATTGTCAAATCACGTACAACTGTACCCCCGTCTGCTCACCTCACTACGCGCTCGCTTGCTCACTCACACATCGTGGCACACCCCATAATACTTTACCACCAAAGTCCATCTTCGGAGCTTGAAGCCTGTTATCAAAGCTGGACGCCCGGTTCGGAGCCTGAAGCCGGATATTGGAGGTTGAAGCTTCTTATCAAAGCTTTAAGCCTGTAATCAAAGCTTGATGCCTGCTATCAAAGCTTGGAGCTTGTTATCGGAGCTTGAAACCAGATACTGGAGCGTGAAGCCCACGCTCAGAGCGTGAACGAGACTGTGAAAAGCTTTCAATAAGATTTGTCGTTCCGACAATGGCGGAAAAGTCTTCCCGACACATTGGTCCCCTCTGGACGCGCGAGGTAAGGGCGCGCTGCAAACGGGGCTCTAGGGCGGATAGGGGCCCGTACAAGGCAGGCCACACACAAGTGGAATGCGCCCTGCTGCTGCACGTGCCAGTGCCATCCCTCTCATACCTTCTATCCGCCCCCCCTCTCACTCATACCTCCTATCCTCTCAAGTTTGTTCCTGCTTCCCCCTTTCACCCTTTCAGGGGGACCACACGCTCAGAGTGCTGCTGCTGCTGCTGGCGCTGCTCACCATTCCCCCTCCAAAACCCATACTCCTATATGCGAATGCTCTCAGGAGGCAGCGGGGGCCGTTCTATACCCCTCCACCATTCTTTCTCTCGTATTACCCCCTGCTTGTACTCCCTTGCAGGAGGACCGCAACCTGCTGCTGCACGGGCGCACTTTCAGTTCTCCCTGCTCCCAGCTTTCCGCTCTCAACACTCTCACGAGGACCGCCCGCTACTGCTGCACGTGGCGGCGGGTTCTGCCTTGCCTTAACCATTTCTCCCCACGTGCTTCCGTCTCTCCCCCCTTGCCCATCCCAGGAAGACCGCACCCTGCTGCTGCATGTGGCGGCTCACGGCACGAGGCAGTGGAGGGCCATTGCCAAGGCAGGGCTGCTGCCAGGGCGAGGCAGCAAGGCGTGCTGCAACCGATTCATCGTGCTCAAGAGGTGATTCCCACGGTGCTTTCAAGTTAGATTTTTTAGTGTCCGTAGAGGCTGACTTGCTGTGGCAATCTTCTCAGAAGCTGGCATAGCGCTGTGCCTTATGATGTTGGCATGTGATGACTTGCAGCTTGCATCTTCCATTCCTCATACCACCGCCAGTGGCAGTGCCTTACTAACCCTTGTCGTCTTTGTTTTTCTCTGTGTGTATTAATGCAGGAATTTTTTCAAACGTCAAAAGCTCAGCTTTCTGTCTGAACCAGCAGCACAGATGATAAGTGGTGCTACCGCCTACATGAGCGAGTCAATGGAGTCAACAGAAGCTGCTTTCGAGGCCTTCAAAGCAGAGCCGTGCGGCGACCAGCCCAATCCTTTCCCACTAGCCTCGTGCCAGCATCCATCAGCCGGCCAGCGACTCGCCCCACTTGTCCCAGCTGGAAGCATCCTGAGCGAGTCAATGAAGTCAACAGAAGGCGCTTTCGAGACGCCTAAACAAAAGTCAACAGGTTGTAATGCATGTTGCTCTTCCATGCAGGCGGTTGCATTATCGCCACCCGTGCCAATTTCGGTGTTTCGACATGACCTCGCATCAGTGTCTTCACTGGTAACAGCAGCAGCAGCAGCAGCAGCACCGCCAGCAGAACCAGCAGCAGCAGCAGCAGCAGCCTCAGCGGCAGCACCAGCAGCAGCAGCATTAGAACCAGCAGCTGCAGCATTAGAACCAGCAGCTGCAGCATTAGAACCAGCACCACCAGCGCCAGCAGCACCAGCAGCAGGAGTCTGCTCTGTTCCCGCATCTGGAGAGGCTGACATCGATCGGCACCTCTTCCAACTGTGGGAGGCATTCACTCCTGAGACTTCTGAAACATCAACCCTTCTGCCTGCATTCCCCTCACTGCAAACACCTTTCCTACACTCCCCAAGCTGCAGCCCTCTGCCAATGCAAGTGCCTTTTGAGTTGACTCAGCAGCAGCTCTTTGAGACGACTCAACTTTCCCCAAGCTGCAGCCCTCTGCCAACACAATTCCCACTTCTCGCGCCTCTAGCAGCTGCTCAGGAGGATAGAGGCACAGCAGTAGGTGGGAGCAGGGAATTGGGGTGGAGCATGAATGCTCACCGAGGGAACAGCAGGAGCAAAGGAATGAGCAAGAGCTTGTGCAAGGGTTTGGGCAAGGGCAGTGACCAGGGTATGAGCAGCCACTGTAAGGCTCAATGCCTTGACGGGCCAAATTGCACTAGCCAAGGTGGGAAGCCCAGTTTCTGGCTTGCTACTGATAAATACTTGCAGCGGGAGGTACACTTCAGCCTCAGCAAGCCAAGTGCAGTATCAAAGCCTTACACTCTGATGTATGGTAATCTGCGGCCAGACGCCCTTCTTGAAGCCATGTGTGGGGGGGCTGCTCTATTAGATAATTTTCTTGATTGATGCTTTCTTTGTTCGTTTTTTGTGATTGTGCATGTGTAAATATGGTTCTAGTTGTCCAAAGTTACATGAGTTGATTACACAAGTTGTAAGCTATGTTAGCGTACATTTGTATATGTATTGTAGGCTAACTAGGGCAGACTATAGAGAGTATAATACATAGACACAAAGTCTGTCTTGTCCTTGCTTGATCCATCCATTCTCTGACGTCGATATGGTATCAGAACTAGGTTAGTTCCTAGCCTCAACGCTTCCGTCCTAGGTGCTCCCCACTCCTCCCGCCCTAGATTCCCCTCCTAGACTAGGTTACGCCCTAGCCTGCCGCCCTAGCCTGCGCCCTAGTCCTAGACCGCCGCCCCGGCTCCGCGCTGCCCGCTGCTCGCCGCCAGCTGAGTGCCGCCCGCTGCACGCACTGCCAGCTGCTGCTCGCTGCTCGCCGCCTCACGCCGCCGCAGTGCGCTGCTCGCTACTCGCCGCCAGTGCAGCCCACACCCTGCAGCCCCGCCACCTGCTCTCGCCCGTCGCCGGCCTGCTCGCCGCCTGCAGCTCGCCGCAGGCCCGCTCGCCGCCTGCAGCCCACCACTTCGGCCTGCTGGCCACCTAACTGCCTCCTGCCGCTGGCCGCCAGCCGCTTTTGCCCGGACTTCACAAGGATCGCTATTTCCTGGGTGTCGTCGACGACTTATCGAGGTTTACCATGGTATTCCCGTTGGAGCGGAAGGCCGACGTGCCTGATGCCCTCCTCCCGTGGCTCACCGTCGTCCGCACCCAGCACTCCCTGCCTACGCTCCGCCTTCACTTCGACCATGGTGGCGAGTTCGCCTCCGGTCGTCTTGGCGCGTTCTGTCATACGAAGGGCATCACCTAGAGATTCACCCTATCGGACTCGCCACAACAAAATGGGGTAGCTAAGCGACACATCGGCCTCGTTACGGAGGTGGCCCGCACCTCCATGGTCCATGCCGGTGCCCCCCATTTTCTGCCGGTGCCCCCCATTTTCTGTGGCCGTTCACGGTGCGGTACGTGGCTCACCAGCTTAACCTGTGGTCTCGCTCCTTGTGGCCACAGGTTTCGCCTACCCTTGTCTGGACTGGGTCCCAAGGTGACGCGTTCGCGTTTCACGTCTGGGGCTGCCTGGCTCGCGTCCGTGACACCAGCACGGATAAGCTCTCAGCCCGCAACCTATCCCGTGTCTTCGCCAGGTTCCCGCTTGATGCTCCTCACCGTGGCACTCGTGTTCCTCCTCCCCCTCTCTTCCTCGCCCCTCCTCAGCTTGCCGCTCCCCTCCCACCCCACCCAGCCCCGTCTGGTGTCTCCCACACCACTCCCCTCCCCTCGGTCAGGCCTGTGGGAGAGTCTGCTGACTATGGGAGCCCTGTGGCTGGGGGTGCACGTGCCGCAGCTGCAGCACCTCTCCCCTAAGCCCAAGTACCCTGGGCACCTAAGCAGCCTTCCCCGTCGCCGTCGCCGAAGTAGTAGCAGCAGCATCAGCGGCCGCCGCAGCATTTGCAACAGCAGCAGCAACGGAGGGGGGCTATGGGCCCTGGGGGTCGTGGTTCTGAGGGTGCTGGCTCTTGGGGGTACTAGCTCTAGGGGTGCTGGTATTAGGGTTGCTGTTTCTGGGGGTGCTGGTTAGGGCTACAAGTCCCCTGGAGGTGCTGGCTCAGAGAGTACTGGCAGTAGCAGTGGTGGGACTGGTGGTTCAAACGTAGGCTGGGAGCAACCGCAACCGCAACAACAGTAGTAGCAGCAGCAGCTAAAACAACAGCTGCAGCAGCCGTAATAGCAGTCGCAGTCTGCCCTTTGTCTCCTTGGCCTTTTCCTTTGCTTCCCTTGACCGCCCACCCATCCCTCCCACAATGCCTCCTTCCCGCCTGCCCCAGTCTACGGCCTGCTGTTCCCTCCCCCAGACACGTCTTTGGCTCGTTTCCCCCTTCATATTCCTCCGTCTCCTGTACCGTTCCTCGTTGCCGACCCGTGGGTGTGTTGTCCCCCTGGTGGTCGTCCTGTCTCTCCTTATGCTAGTGTCCACCCAATAGTCCTTCGTTCTCATACTACTTCAGTCCCCAACCTACGGTTACCTCCCCAGTCATTCCTACCCCTATCGTCGTCTTCTCCTCCCACTGACTCTGTTCGCGCCACTCGTCCAGGCGTCTGCCTCTTGCTTGCCTCTTTTGTTACTGAACCTACGGTCCTCCTGCTGGCATCTATGCCCTCGTCGCTGCTATCGCTAACTTTGCTGCAAGCCACCGCATTGATTACGCATCCGCTCTGGTCTCTGGCCATGCCCATCCTCTGTCCATCGAGGGTGAACCTGCGCTTGACAGTGACGTTCTAGAGGATAGGCAGTACGAGCTACTGTAGCTTTCCTTGCGGCTGCTGTACCTCATCTCTGCGACATGCTTGTGTCCCCTAAGGGTGACCCAGACGCCCTGGACATCCCTGTCCCACACTCGTATGCAGAGGCGGTCTTGAGGCCCTGGGCAGCCCAGTGGATACTGGCAATGGAGGCAAAGATGGCACCGAATAGAGCCACTGGCACTTACGCCGGCGAAACTCCTCTTCTTCGGGCGAACATAGTCGATTACATGTGGATCTATAAGGTGAAGCACCCACCTGGAGAGCCGCCGCAGTTCATTCCATGGTATGTGGCCAGAGGCTTTAGCCAGCGAGAGGGTGTGGACTTCTTCCATATTTTTGCCCCCACCTCTAATATGACTACTCTTTGGGTACTCCTCCACATAGCATTACATCGTGATTACGAGCTCCACTCTCTAAACTTCTCGACAACCTTCTTGCAGGGCAGTCTACACGAGCAGTTCTACTTGCGGCGCCCACCAGGCTTCACCGAGTCCTTAGCTCCTTGGACTTAGTGGAGCGTGCGCCACCCTGTCAGCAGCAAGCGCCCCCATGAGTGGCACAACACGCTCCGCACTACACTCGCGCCTCTCCATTTCTTCACGTCCTCTGCTGCCCCCTCGCTCTTCGTTTGTGTTGGTCAGACTCCATTCTACAGTATATCCTTGTATACTTAGACGACCTTATCTTTGCTATATCAGACAGGGTCGTACAGGCCTTAGTAAAGTCCGAGCTGCTCAGGCAACATGCCTGCACAGACCTGGGAGAGCTGTGGCGTTATCTGGGATTGGAGATCTCTCATAACCAATCACACTCTCCCAGTCCCACGTGGTACAAGAGATCCTCCAGAGGTTTGACCTTTAGTTACGATGTGCTGCTATGGTTCGGCCTTTAGTTCTTGTCGGTACAGCCCACTCCCCTACCTGTGGACTACAAGCTCTCAGTTCCTGTTTCCGGTACGCAGACATAGTGGGGTGCCTTATGTACAGTGGCGGAACGTATTGTCCACATGTTTGTGACTTAGAGGAATTTTGCCATTTTAGGGGGTCATGGACATTAAGCCTTAATCTTTTGGTGTGCCTAGTGTACGTAGGTTGGGGTAAGGCTCTACGCCCATGCCTTACATCTCACAAAGGTTTTGATGTTTACAACAAATAACAGAAATTAACAATCATGGTACATGCGGACAATTATTGTCAGGCACAAGCAGCAAGTTACATCAACCCCAAACTAGTACATAGTCCACCGCCCGCCTTAATCACCGCCATCACCCTCCTGGGCATGCTTTCCACCAGGTGGGTGCACACATCTGTCGAGATCTTCTCCCATTCCTCCTGCACACGCTCCCAAAGGTCCAACATACCTGTGGGAGGCTTCTTGTGCTTGGCCAGCTGCCTCTTGAGATGAGCCCATAAATGCTCTATTGGGTTGAGGTCGGGTGAGGAAGACGGCCATTCTAGCACCCCAAACTCTTGCTCTCTAAGCCACTCCTGCACGATACGCAACTTGTGCTTCGGGTCGTTGTCGTGCTGGAAGATAGTTTCCGAGGGTGAAAGCTGATAAAACTCAATCGTACTATAGAGCTCGTCCTGCAGTATACTCAGATAGAGTGGTCCGTCCATCCTACCGTCTATTTTGCACATGAAACCCGCGCCATCATACGACATGCACCCCCAAATCATCAAGCAGCCGCCCTCGTGTTTGACGGTCTGCTTGATTTGGTGGCTTTGGAGGGCAGCACCTTTGTGAACCCAGGCATAGGAGCGTCCATCGGAAGCAAACCGATTGATCTTGGTCTCATCCGACCAGATCACCCGCTTCCAATCGTCAACCATCCAGTCAGCGTGGGCACGGGCCCATTCTAGCCTATCGCGTATGTTTTTTCAAGAGAGTTGCGGCTTCTTGGGCTGCTAGATGGCGACAAGTCCACTGCCATTCAAAGCATTACGCACCATCCTAGGATGCAGCGTGATGCCGTGCTGCATCTCGACAATCTTCACTGCATGAGCGGAGGTTTTGGCCTCCCCGATAGTAATCGACCGAACTATGCCGCGGTGAATTCTCTCTGTCACTAAGCAAGGGCGACCGGCTGAGGGCATCGTAGGACGCACGGCATCGCGGCTAGACTCTTCAATCGCCTTAAGTCCATAATCGTGAACCGTGCTCTTGCCCACGCCTAGCTGTTTAGCGATTCGACGAGTGCTATACCCCCTCCGCAACAGGGTAATGATCCGTGCGCGGCACGCCTCATCTATCGATTTCATGATGGCCTATTCGTTGCAGCAGTCCTAGCCTATCTCCTGACTAATCGATAGTCGCAAGGGCAAGTAAGTAGAAAAAGCGAGGTTAGGAAATAGATCTAGTACGCTGCTTGCCTTGAACTATCTGGATGAACCCACGCGAACGAAATCTCGTCCTCGGTAAAAAATCGACCCCTATAAAACTGAACCAAGCAGCCGTCACATACACTACAGTACTACTTTACAGCCAATGCCAAAATTTGCGTCGGAACTAAACAAAAAAGGCACCAAACCGGTACGAGAAATAATTGAAGGCAATTATCCGGGCAATACTTTCCGCCGCTGTACCTGATGACGTTCACTCGTCCAGATCTAGCCTACCCACTCAGTATCCTTGCTCGCTTTGTTGTGACTGTCAGGAACCGACCAGAGCACTAGTCGGCTGCCAAGGGTGTTGCGGTGCCTGGCGAGTACCTCAAGCCTGGGGC